GATAAAGGGCTAGGACAGATAGTAATAGTCGTAGACAGATGGTAACAGTCGTGGCAGCTCCTACTCAAACGCCTGGCGGAAGAGCTCCGTCTTGCAGGCCCTGCGGAACTGTGCAAGGTCCCACAGGACCCAGATCTCCTCTGGGAGCTCATTCCACCAGTTAGGAGCCGCCACCGAAAAAGCCCTACCCCTAGTCGCCGCTAGTCTGGCCTCTTTGGGACCTGGAACCACCAGGAGATGTTTAGTCCCGGACCATAGTGCTCGTTGGGGAACATATGGGGAGAGGCGGTCCTGTAGGTATGTTGGACCCTGGCCATCTAGGGCTTTAAAGGTAGGAACCAGCACTTTGTAGCGAATCCGGTATGCTATCGGCAGCCAGTGCAGCGCTTTCAGCACAGGCTGGATGTGTGCCCCCCTAGGAAGGCCCATCAACAGCCTGGCTGCAGCATTCTGCACTTTTGTAAAGAAAATCTCACCCTGGAGACGAGGAACTCCTGAAATGCTTCCGTTGTGTCCTCTCAGGAGGTCATGTCCAAAGTAGACATAGCACATTATTCACATTTCTTTCTTATCTCTCCTTATTATGAAAGCCTTTTGGGGTGGCCCCTGTCCTATGGGGTGGTGAGATTAAATGCGCTCCCTCAGCCATTGGCCCACCAGCTGCCACTCAAGACTACTGGCATGCCATTGGCTGGGTGTGGGGGGGGACGAGGCTAGCCGCCTTGGCCCGCGCGTGCCTGGAACGGCTTCGGGAGGGGGTAGGCAGGGCGTGGGCCCTTCTCCGAGGGGGAGAGCCCCAGCAGCCTTCCCTGCAGCATCCCCCGCCTTGCTTGCCCGCTCCACCTGACCTCCAGGCCGCCAGGAGGGCAGGACTGCAGGGGGCCTGCTGCTGCAGGCCAGGGCGCTTGCCAACACCCCGTCTCTAGGGCTCGTTGCCTTTCTCCCCGCAACGGGCCTTCTCCCTAGTTCACATATAAAGCACAAAGCGGGAATTTAATTTTAACACCCTGAGCAGGTGAGGGGAGCCGGCCCCCTCCCCTCCCCCGCTGTATCTCCACAGAGGTGTCCTCTCATGACGCGGCCTGAGCTGAAAAGAAGTTGGTCCGAAACTGAAAAGTGTCTGGAGATAAACCAGGGGAAGGGACAGCTTTCCATCCTTCTCTGTTTTGAACACTCCCTTTGGATATAAAAATCCTAGGTGGTCAGTCCCAAGTCGGGTGGCTCTTTCCCCAGCACAATCCACCCATCCTGTATTATTCGATTGAGACGTTTTGCCTGGCTGGTGTGAAGGAAGTCTCCGGCATCTTCAAGGATTCTCTCTCTGTTCATAGACTCAGTGCCCCCTCCCGGGACTCCGGCCCACCTGTGAATGAATCTGTCCTCCTGTGTTCCCTTTTGCAGGCCACCTTCAAAGGCTGGATGGACATCATGTATGCCGCCGTCGATTCCCGTGAGGTAATTAGGATAAGTCAGCCGTCTTGTCTTCCCTTGCAACCCTCCCATAGGAGCAGCCGGGACTGGCCTGCCTGGCGAGGGGGGGCTAACTGCCAGCAAGGTCGGTTGTCACCCAAGTAAGGTGCCCCCGTCCCCTCCTGGGCCCACCTGGCTATCACCTTGGCTTGGACCCAGCAGCGAGCAGCGTGGGGGGGCCAGGAAGGGGTGCCACGAGAGACGTCGGGGAGCGAGCAGAGACCCAGGGGGTGAACTGGCAGCTTGCTCCACGCTCTGTTCCAGAACCAGCCCTGCTGGCGAAAAGCTGCGCCTCCTCTGTCTCTTCTCTGCCTTCCCAGGTTGAGGAGCAGCCCCAGTACGAAGTGAACCTCTACATGTACATCTATTTTGTCATCTTCATCATCTTCGGTGCCTTCTTCACTCTCAATCTGTTTATCGGTGTCATTATCGACAATTTCAACCAGCAGAAGAAAAAGATAAGTATCTCTTGGCTGCCGCCACGGGAGTCACCGTCCACCTGCTGAGAACAGCTTCCCACATCATGAATTGCTTTGGGGGCATAAGGGGGCAGAGTGGGGCATGCTCTCTGCGTCGGTGCATGCCATGCAGTGGGGAAGAGAGCGTGTGCAGAGTGGAGGGCTTGAGCGCCAGGGCTCCTGCACGCTTGCCTGGGGAACAACCACTTGCTGGCTTTCGGGTTCTCCCTGCCGCTGCTGCCACAGCACAGAGCAGTGCAGAGGCAGCCAGTGGCTGCCCAGTGCTTGGGGGAAACTGCACTCAGCACATGCTCAGAAGCAGGGCTATTTTTGGGCAGGAACGCACAGGAACGGAGTTCCGGCTGGCTCCTGAGTTGGCCACGCCCAGCA